TGGATGGATGGACGGATGGATGGATAATAGATTGATAATAATAGGATAATAAAAGGATAATAGATTGATCCTAGAAGGGCCAGGTTATTCACAGCCTCAATTAAATGCTGTGGATCTGCCATCCAAATGAGCAATTTTCTGCCTGCTTAATTTCACCAATGTTTCCCCAGCCTACCAAGAAGGTCTCCATCTTCTCAACTTCCTCAACAAAATGCTCCGGCTCTTGTAAAGGAAAATCTCTTGGATGTCTTCCAAGGACGCTGTTGTCTCCGTTTAAAATAACATGAATGCTATTGACATTTAACAGAATTCAGTTACTTGAAACAGATTTCTTGGCTGGGCTGTGTTGCCTTCCCGTCCACCTAAATTATTCTTACAAAAAAAGGAAGGGCTGTTGAATCTACTAAGCCATTTGCCTGCAGGGAAGCCCCATTCAGAACCGCCGTCCATAAGAACGTAAGGAGGCGTTTGCTGAATCTCCTAAAGGCCGAACGGTGTGATAAATGTCATCTCCAACCTTTGCATGATTTTATAGCCCCCCAAAGAATCTCTTTTACAAATAAACTGTAGGAAGGGATGAACACACCAGTGATTCCTAAGCTACAGGCCACCTCTCACTGTTCCTTCCCTCCTAGCAGGGTCCAAAACAAAAGGGAAGGAGGTCAAAAAAGTCAAGATGGCAGCTGATGTTGTTTGGTAGTTGGGCTGTCTGGTGCAGAAGAGTGAAATCTTTCCCTGTTTCATTGGTGTCTGGATGGTCCTTTGTCCCCATCCCTTGGTGCATAATTTTGAGCGAAGTGAGGCTGTCTCTGCAGGAAATTGGGTTCAGGGACTCATTTAGGTAGACTGATAAAATCATACCACTCCATTGTTTCATCTTTGCTACATCTTTTTTTAAGGTTTTAATTTATTTTATTGAATATATTTTTGGTAACGAAACCATCTTTAATCTTAAAAAAGCCTTTAAAAACAAAAAATGCAAACTAAGAAGGAGAAGGAAAAACATCTATCTTATATTTTGGACTTTTCATTAGTCACTAGCCTACCAATGAATTCACTGCTGCAATATAAACAAGGCAAGTTATTATTATAAGATATCATAGAATCTCAGCCATAGTAACACATATTGCTGCAATCTTTCTTTTGGTAGAAAATATGGCCTTTTCCAAAACAGATAGATCACACATTTCTGGCAACCATTCCTTGACATCTGGAATAATTTCACTTTTTGATTTCTTAGTCATTCTCCCCCCCCCCCCGCCCTCCATGCTCAGTAGAACCACAATTCCTGGTGAACAGTCAAATACCAAAGCTTTGGTATATAATTCAACACTACATTAAGCCTTTGCTACATCGTGGTTGGCTGAACATACCGCCCCAGCTGCTGACTGGGCAATTCAGTTGGGTGGTCAGATTATTGAGAAGATGGAGAATGAAACACAGGACCTCTTTGCTGAAGACCTCCAACAAATCTTGAGTTGCACACCAAGACGTTGGCTGGGGTATGGGTGGTGGGGTGAACTCAACTGAGTTTTAGGGCCGACGTCAACACAGGGGTTCTGGTCTCGCAAATAATTCAGTCTGGTGGATTACCACTTCTTTGTAGCTTGTCGAAGTTGACAGGCACAGGTAATGAATGGTTCCTTCTTGTCTGTGTTTAGGGTGATAACTAGGTTTTCAGAGAAGGTGCCAGCAAAGCCTTTGGCGGTAATAACAGGGTGGAAGAGTACATTGGGCGGGCCAGGGAGGTAAATATAGGCCTGGGAGAATCCAGCACGAAGTAGGGCAACAGCTCAGCCTATCATCAAGTTCGGTCCCCAACTTTTCCACCCCCAGCAGTAGGGGATGAGCAAATCTGTCAATTTCAGATTTGTTCCAGGCCTCATTTTATGACGCTGGAGTTCAAGTGTTTCTTCATGAGCTTGCAAAGCATAAGTGACCTCCTTCCCCATCAGAAATCCATGGGAAAATCCATGTGTGTTTTTATGCCCATTTCTTCTAATGTGTTCATTTCCATTAACTTGCAGCAAGGGAGTTTTTGCGGTTAGAGCAGAGTTTCCCAAACTTTTAGAGGTGTGAGGTTCAACTCCCAGAATTCCCCTGCCGGTGTAAATGAGAATACTGGGAGTTGAAGTCCATGCATTTGGAAGTTGCCGGGTTGGATAAAGAATACCAGAGTGTTTTTTTGTGTGTGCTTTCCCTATACCTGTGCATTTTCCCTGAAGGAACAGATGAATCTTTTGTATAGATTTTTTTGAATTGCCACTACGTTGTAACCTTTCAAGAGTGAATTTGAAAGCAGCGATGCATTCTACAGGTAGTTCTTGCTTAACAACGGTAATTGGGATGGGCAACTCTGTCGCTAAGCAATGCAGTCATAAAGTGTGACACCATGTGACCACACCAACTTACGATGGCAGTTGCGACAGTCCCAGTAGCCGTCGTTTGGTGAATCCCGTGTGGTCGCAGCATTCCACAGTCATGAGATCACCATTTGTGACTTCCTGCTGGTTTGAATTTGCTTGTTGGAAGCCAGCAGTGAAGGTCACGAATGCTGATCACATGACTGCAGGATGCTGCAACCGTCGTAAGTGTGAGCCGGTCAGATCACAATCACCTGACTGCGGGGATGCTGTGACAGCCACAACTATGAGGAACAGTTGTAAGTCACCTCGTTCAGCACCATCGTACCTTCAAATGGTCACTGAACAAGTGGTTGTTCAACAAAGACTACCCGTAGTTCAAACAGAGATTTGGGATATGGGAACTGGATAAGCATCTGTAAAAATTTGGATCAAACTTCTTTTCCTGCCTTACTCAAGACAGCAAACCCTGAACAGTGGTTAGTTTCATGCAACACCCTGAGCCCTTAGCCCCAGTTAACAAACACCACTGCTGTGTTCATATCTCATGCTATCTCTACAACAGTAATATTTTGGCTTCACAGAATGATGTGCTTCACACAAAAGACAATGGCTGGCTTTCCTCCAGTCCGTTGAACCACCATTTATGTTAGCGTAGACTAGCACAATCCTTATTTTTAAATTTGTTTTGTAAACCCTCAAGAGACTCCAAAAGTCACATAACTAAATGTTGGTGAAAGAAACGCACCAGGAAGCAGAAACATGATTTCTTTGTGTTTTCTTTTTATGGAAAACACACCAACAAACACTGTATCAGAATATCTGAGTCTATAGGCCTCAGTTTCCCCTTCAAGAAGTGCACGAGGTCCTGGCTGGCCATCTCCTACCTTGATGTAGTTGTTTAGTTGTTCTGTTTATCTTCCACGGCACACCTCATGTGGCATCCTTTTTCTAACCCTAGTGTGTGAAAGAAATAAGGGTCACACCCTGTTCTGCCTTTTCTGGTGATTAAAAGATAAAAACGAGGGGAAAAAAGAAACAATCCCTATAATGCAATTTCTTGGTCTTGTAGCATAGAGGTGTGCGATTAAAGGTTTCGGCCCTTCCTGCTTTTGAGAGATCGACCAATCTTATAAGAGACAAACAAAATAAAGCTTCATGTTAAACAAAGAAATCAGAATATACTGTACACGGTCTTTACTTGAAAAGCAGTTTACAAAATGCATGCAGTGTTCTAGGTAAGCCACAAGATGGTGCTGGTCTGCTACAATTAACTCAGAAGAGTGTCTCCTTCTAGATCTGTTTCTCAGCCTTGACTACTTTAAAATGTGTGGACTTCAACTCCCAGAATGCTCCAG